CTGGCGTGGGCTGGTCCATGAGGTCACGAAGAGTCGGAGACGACTGAACGAATGAACAACAACAACTTTCAATTTATACCGAATGCTTCATGTTGGAGTAGAGCAGTGGTTCTCAACCTCTGGGTCGCCAGATGTTTTGGCCTTCAACTCTCAGAAATCCCAGCCTGTTTACCAGTTGTTAGGATTTCTGGAAGTTGAAGGCCAAAACACCTGGGGACCCACAGGTTGAGAACCACGGCAGTAGAGGGCGGAGGGAGCGAATTGTGCTACACATTTTTCTATTTTTTTTTAGACTCCTCACTCATTAAATGGTTGATGAGAGAGGAATTTAATTCAGGGTTTCAGTGCATACCAACATATCTCTCTTTGTGGGCTTATGAAGGAGTAGGTCCAATTGACACAATGGATCCTAACTCAAAACGTACAGAATTGGGTTGCAGCTGTACAAGACCTTCTAGTACAAGCAGCTTACACCAAGTCCAGGAAAAGTCAAGTACTGGTGATCTTTAACCTCATGCCTCTGCTCACAACAACAATCTTTTCCTTCAACATCCAGAATGGAAGTCCCAGAAATGTGAAATCTTATCACCTGCATGGTGAAGACTTGTTTGTCCTCATAGAAATGTTGTTTTTGGTGACCATGTTTTCTATATATCTCTGTATACTAGCAAGAGAATATCTGGACCCAAAAGGGAAAGGATACTTCCTGAAAATAGACACTTCATGTGAAAAAGTCTGCTGGCAATATTAGAACACTTAAAATAATAGACTGGTCAAGACACTACAATGTTGCACTTACCGCTTGGTGCATTGGCTAGGCGTGCTTGAATTGAAATCTCTCAATCGGTATATTCCAAAGCAAAGCATATTGTATGTTTTCAAAGCTTTACAAAACAGATCTCCGTAGCAACCACCATCCTAGGAGAGAAAATAAAATAAAATAAAATTTAGAGGTGTTTTGTTCCACCTCAATTACCACAATGACATTGAAGGCGGGGGAGATATTTTAAGTCAGTAATTCTATGCCAAGGGAACAAGGTGTGAGGCAATCTGTTGTTTACTTGTCACAAGTGAGAAACAATTAGTCAAGGAGCTGTCTAATTTAAATGTTTAATCTTGAAACTAGCTAATAAATGTGTGCATGGGAATGTGTGCAATCCCAGTGATTGTATTGCAGAAAAACAACCCGGACTGGGAACAGTGACTGACTCATATTTTAATTGAACATGCAAGCTTTGGGGCCAGAGAACTGCTGTTCCTTAAATTAAGAGCAATGGAGTCTGAACTACTGGATGATTAAGAAGGTGTGACTTTTCCTTTCTTTCTCCAGTCTTGAAAATTACTGTGTCATATGCCTCAGTTTATTTAACTATGTTGTCAATTTTCACCAAGATAGTTTGGATTTCACTAGGGAACATAACACTTCAGTGAGTAAGAACCTCCACACTTTTCTCCTTAAAAAAAGAAATTAGAGAAGAGAAAGAAAAAACATGTTTTTCTCCAAGTGAAGGGGCCACCCATCAAGATCCTCTTTTATCTCCCAGGCAAGCATTTGTTTTGATAAGGGGATTCAATTGGCATTCAGTATGGTAAATACAGAAATGGGTACACAAGTACATGATGAATCAAACTTTCAGCTTTACCATCATCAGTAAAAGTAATAGCCAACTTGGGACTGGATTATTGCTTCACAGTTTGCCTTCTATACTTTGGCAGTCTCCTGAGGTGATGGAAATGATCAGCAACAGTGGCTTCCCATGCTAGAAGAACACAGGCTGAGCCATACATGTATAAAATGGGAGCTGTAAGTATGTGGCAGAGCATATGCCTCTCACCTCCCATAGAATGATTTAGGTAGTACAGTGGGCCTGCCAGATCTATGGGTTTATGATTCATGGAGTCATAAGACACATGTACATAAGACACATTACTACACCTGTACTGTACTTTACTAAACTTGTACTATTGGTGAGGCTTGAGAGGCTTACTGAGAGATGCAAATGATCTCCCCCATAATTCCCTATTAAAAGTGGCCTATGATAGTAGTGGAGATGGTAGCAAGCTCTGGTGGCACACATTTTTCAGGCTCTTCTGCTTCTACAAAGCCCACCAGCCACCCACTTCCACCCTCAAGCAGCCTGCACAGGGACATGGAGATTGGCAGTATTTATGGTGTTCCTGGTCATTCATTTGCAAATGACTGTGCAAGAGTTGAGTATAAATAAGCCTTGGATTGAAAGTGGTTGAATGGGTATTTATGAACCCAAGGGTGAACAAAAGATGTTTGGTGTTTCAAATTTCTCTCTGTAGTGTTAGGCACGGGTTATTAAATGTACAAAAATATACCTGTACCAGAAATTCTAATGCTTCAATAAAAGTTTGCTTTGTAAGCTGATTTTTTAAAAAAAGAATGCCACTGACAATCTCAGAAGGATGAAGACCCTCCAGGGACATGGCATCAATGGTATTTATCAATCACAGGATGGTAAGCAGCTTAGAATCATGGTGTTTAGTGGCAGTGCTCCTACATTTTCATTCACAAATGGTTGAGCAGGAGTGCCACCCGTTTTCCAATTGTCATGTCCAGATGGAATCTGCTCAAAAGCAGGAGAAAGCAGCTGGTTGGCTCCTTGGATGCAGGGAACCTGCAGAATGCATGCCTGGCAGCCAGGGTTTGCCACTATCTGTGTACTCCCTACATTATTTTTTAGATCATGTGTTTTGGTATCTGCAATGGGTCCTGGAACCAATCCCCTATGGATACCAAAGGCTCACTGAATACATGTGTGGTTATGAACATTCCTCCACAAAACAGTGTATATGGAGGATAAATTATTTGTCTGTGTTCTAATTGATTATTAGGATTGGTTCCCTTCTCATCCATGTGTATATGAATTTATTTTTCCCTGAATTCATATCTGACAGATGAATGTGGTAACTTCTAGACTTGGTTGATAAAAAAATGGTTCAAAATTAGTTTCGGATGTAGGGGGCACTGGTGGTTCAATTATAAAGTCACTTCCAATTTTTTTTTAAAAAAATCAAAACTTTCCAAAACTTCCGAATCACTTCGTTAATGGCAGTAGGAATGCGCAGTAGGAAAAAACCCATGCGCAGTAGGAAAAAGCAGCACTAGCACTGGGGAAACTTCAGGGGATTCTCCGTCCCTCATTTGTAGACCAATCCTGATGAAACGTGCTACAGTAGTAGAACACATGGACCACTGTTAGCTCACCAAATTTCATAACCTTTGACTTATTTATGGATTTTGGCGAATTTTCAAATTTTTTATAAAAAAATTATTAATAAAGAAAATCTGTTCCTGGTTTGAAAGTGTTATTTTCTGTTTCATTGGGTGGTCTTTACTTTGAAAATAGTTGATCTACTCCAGAAACTTTGTTTGTGTGGCAAAAACCGTGTTAAATTGGTGGAGAATAGAAATCATAGCAGAGACCCCATCAAGGGACATCTAGACTGACCCCCTTTTTCTGGGCAGAAAGGTACCATCCAAACTCTCCTGATATCCATTTGCTTCCTCTACTGAGTTGGAGGGGGCCCTCAAGACACATGCATCCATTTATTCCTATCTGCAGATGCAATCCATCATTTTATTTTATCGTTACTTACTGATGTAAAGGGCTGGCTGGCTGTATCTGGCTACCCCAGTGCCTTGTTCATGGCAATCAGGCCAAAATGAAATGATTGGTTTTTAAGCGGTTTATGTTCTCTTGGCTTTGCAAAAGTTGCTTATTGCTTTTCTGCCTTCTTTAGACACTTTTGTAGATTCAATCAGCTTATATTATATTTAGACAAAGACTGCTACAGACAGCTACAGGGGGTCCTTCAGCCATTTTGGCTAATGAGCAGCAAGGCTTTATCAAAGTTGCTTAATTGTTCTGAAAATTAAAGTAATCTTGGGAGACATCAGAACATTATGGAATATTTCCGGAAAAAAAAGGTTAGTGGTTCAAATTTGGATTTGCCCCTCCCACCTTTCCTGCATGATTCAAAACTGCTTCAAAAATCAAAAGTCAGAAGTTTTTTTATGAGTTTCAGACTCTTCCGAATGAACCTATTCAACCCTAGTAACTACCATTATAGAAAAGCAATGTGTTTCAGTTAATGCAAGGCGGATTAAACACAAGTCCAAAGTTTAAGATTCAATGAAGTGAGTTGAGGTGGTATAAGTATTTTGTACTGTATCTTTTCAACTGCAGGTGGAGCTTTACATGACTGACTGTTCCCCAGAAACACACACAGAGGGGGAAAGACAAGTCATGTAAATTACCACAACTGATTGCACCAGCTTACTAGACCCAACTCTGGAAACTGTTTTGTTTACAAACTCTGTTTTGTTTACAAACTCTTACTTTGGTTCTCTCCATATAAAAGTCTTACTATCAGCTTACTATTAATCACAGAGAATAAATAATACACAATTAATCACAGTTAAAATAGAAGTATCAACTAACAACCAATCCACTCAACAGCAGCAATAATCAAGCAGCAGCAAAGAAGGAGACTAGCACTCAACAGAAACAGATTGGAAGGAGTCAACAGCTATGACCACAAAGCCATTTTTACTAAGTGGAAAAGAAACATAAAAATAGAGCTGGGAAGTATCCGTAACATTAACTGAGTTTTATATTGCTTCTCAATCAGAATCCTGGTCAGCATGTATTCTTTATAAAGAGCCACATTTTGAACAGTACAAGATCTGGATAAACAGTGACAATGCTTTGATCTAGTAACACTAGCTTGATCTAAGAGAAATGTGGATAAAGGTATTTGTAACTTTTGTTAAATTTGTAATAACTTAGTAAATTATTTAAAGCCACAACTCCCATTTATATTAGTCAAATGCAGTATGTACACGCATTTCCAACATGGATACTATGCAGATATTAAAGATGAGGAACCTCTCAGAAACAAAGAGGCAGCAACTCTAATTCCACACTAACATGATTGAACACATAGGGATCCAAAGACAGACTTCTTAAAAAATTAAGGACATACCGGGCCCTAGCCATAATCAATGTGGCAGTTTTGGTTTCTCTTACATTTAACTTTCTTTCTTTTCTTTTTTACAACAAACAGCAATAAAAAAACAAAACTCAAGTTTGTTGTTCCATGAATATGAAGAGTTTTGAATGCTGTTCTATTCGTCTATACTCAGTAAGTTTCATGTATCCATATTCAGGAGTCCATAGTTAAGATGCACAAAAGAAAACTCTGCTTGCATGGCCTTTATTGGCAGAGGATGCTGTTAAAGAACCAATTGGCAGAGCATCAGTTCACAAAGTCCAACACTGTTGAGAGGCATAATGGGTTCGGAGGTGGCCATGGTTATATTGAGTGGCATCTGAAAAATCTAGGGGAGAATGATGAACAACTCTGGCCAACAAAGTCACTTATTCCTAAGCTTGCATTGTTCATATCAATTTGATAGCCTTGAATCACAAAATAAGAGTTAAGATTACTTTGAGAGAATTATACTTTTTTGTACACTCTATCAAGGAGCACATAAAGACAGTTATAAGATACACTGCCTTGATTTCCTTCTCTTTTCATAGTCTTACCCCAAGATCTGCAAAAGGCCCATCCAGCAAAGCCAGCTGGGCCACCCGGCACCGGTCCCTGTTGGCGAGGGTCTGTGGCGTGCTGTAGCCGCCTCTCAGTGCATTCTCTTCAGCAATCAGTGACTCCAGCTCCGGTGTGGCTCCTCCGGTTACCAAAGTACGTATCAGTGTGAGAATATTGTCATTGAAGTATGTCTGCAGAGATAAAAGAAAGCTCTTTAAGCAAACACCATTAAAGTCACAAGTGAAGACATCCAAATTACAACTTTTCTGGCTTTCTGCTGTTTAAAGTTCTTGGCTGTCTCTTCAAATAATTTCCCATTGGAAGTGAAAAGACAGCAGCCCCCAATTACTCTATTTTCTTCTGTCCCATTAGGCTTCTACTCGATCCTTCCTCCACACACTTTTTCTCTGTCTCTCTTTTTTTTAACAATCCCCAACTCAGGGTTGATTTTTATTAAAGAACAAAAAATGTAAATCATTCATGTTTGCTATAATTGGTGTTAGTGGTGAAGCAATGACTGCCTTCCTTCTCATTGCCTTCATGTCTAATAACAGCCTTTAGGACATGTAATTGTAAAATCCAGACCACATTTAAAGCTTACAGCGGCTAGATTGCCTTTTTATACTTGTCACCAATCCATTGGGGAGCCGCCTCTGTGCTTCGGATGTCATTACTTATTACTGCAGCTGGACTCGAGCAGTCTTCCCAATGTACTGTACTAAACATCTTATTACGAGACTTGACAGTGTTCAGACACAAGCATGTATCAATTAAACATTCTGAGTTCATTCCAGATAAATGTATGATGAGTTTAGGGTCCTACTGGTCCTTTTAAAAAACTCTAGGGTATAGGGTAAGTGTAGTTTATTAGGGAAGATTTACTCCACAGTGACATTTTGCCAGCATCAGTAGCTGCACTGCCCTGTCAGGCAAACAATGGACATTTTAAATATTAATTGGATGCCAACGGTAGGAAGTTCATTTCAAAGTACAGTGGTCTGGGTGGAAGATGCTCCACTAGGTAGCCACAATTTATGTCTTATATTATCTCAAATCCGAGTAAAGTGCACTCTGTTGATGAACACGCACACATATATATGCCCATGCATTTTTCTTTGGCCATACTGTGCTTCAGGTAATATAGAATGTCTGCTGAGGGATCCATCTTCCCTGAGATAGTTTACTTCCACTGGAAACAGGAGCACAAGAACCACTACTACCACCACAACCTCAAATGTATCTGATAAGAAGCAACTTCTGGATATTTTAGCAGGGAAAAATTTGCATGTAGAGATTATTTTGTTGGCACCTTTAATCCATTACCTCTGACAATATTCAGCACATTTCTTAAACTGTGGGTCCTGACTCCAAATGTGGTCCCCTTAGCTCAATGTTAAGAGTCCCAAAAGATTGGCAACAATAGAAGTTTTTTGAATATCAACTAGTGGCTGTTTCAGACATTTGAACAAATCTGTTGTGCAATGCTTACAGTGGACTCTGCAGACAATGCTTCAGTTGTACTTCATTAAAAATGCATGTTTATCAAGCTAATTTTATTGTGTTTTGTGTTATATCGCTTGTATTGTATCTATGGGCGTGGCCTGATGTAAGCCTCACCGAGTCGCCCTGGGGGAGATGGAGTAGGGTATAAATAAAGTATTATTATTATTATTATTATTATTATTATTATTATTATTATTATTATAAATGCTGATTCATTATTAGTTTGATTTTATACCCATGGTCACGTCAACATTTCTTGGGCTGAAAGAGGTCACAAGTAGCAAAGTTTAGAAGCCTTGATCTAGCAGAGGCAGCATCACAGAAGCCTTAGCACTTTGATCCAAAATATTTTAAATGTTGTATGCAACTGTATGTATACAATATAATTGTATGCAACTATATTGAGGCAAGCATGTTATTATATTGTAATGTAATGACCTATTTGCCTCACTATAGATTTGTATTGGCCTGTACTAGAAGTTTAATATTGTTGCTACCTACAGCATACCTGAATATGGCAAAAAGAGATAGTTGGGAGATGTGGCAAAATATTTAAAAATAGGTCCCATGTACAGGTTAAGATGAAAGATAAGCCCTACATTCATGATGCTGATTGTCAGGGGAATAGATGCAAAGGAGGGTGGGGCTCCTACGTTTTGTGTTTGTGCATGCATTCAAGTCACCTGTCAACTTATGGCATTCCCATGACTTTTATAAGGTTCTCTTATGTTTTGTGAATTCTTTCTTCTGAAATATTATTCATTAACATCCGTTGTTCATTCATCATCTCCCATCTAAATACTAATTAGGTTTGACCTTGCCAGGCTTCCAAGATCAGGTGGGATCTAATGCCTTTAGGGTATTTAGGCCCCTAAATGTATTATTTATTACCTTGCTTTAAAGATATTGTTACTATGTCCATATTAAACCTGAAAGTAACTTGTCACTGGTAATGTCATTACTAACATACTGCATCACTTTAGTTTCTGAACTAAAGTAGGAAAATATGTACCATCCAACATTATTCTTGCACGATTACTGAAAATGCTATCACTAACTTTGGGCTCCTTCGCATGCCACCATCCTCTCCTTTATGAACCCAATTCAGGTAACATTGCAAGGATGATAATTAATATATGGTTCTTAGATTACACATACACACACACACAGTTTGTGCATGTAATTTTGTCTCTATCCAGCACCCAGTAATTTGGATCCTTTTACTGTTGACAAAGGCTTTAGATCTATGAATGCAATAGGAAAAGCCCACATGATAAAATTAATTTGAAGGTGACTGAACCACTTACAAAAAGTACTCAGAATACATTCTGACTATGTTGAGATTGCTAGTAAAGACCTTTTTAATGTGTAATTGTGCTTGCTAATGTAAGAGTCATAAGGCCGCTGAAGCCATAGTAATACAAGAAAGAAGGGACAAAAGAAAGGCACAACCTTGCTTACTATAATCCAGGCAAAAGACAGCTGTTTCTGATCTCAATACATGAGCTTGCAGTGCCACCTAGCCCATTCTTTTGCATTCCACCACAGCTCTTTTGGATTATAAACAGCTGGATTTTGTCTTCTGGTTCCTCTCCCACTATTTTAAAAAGTAATAATCCAAGTGTTCTGATAGTTCCTCATCAATGTGGTCACATTTCTTAAAGTAGACAAAAATGTAACTGAAAATTAACAAATATCTAATGGCATATTGTCATTTTCTGTGCCACAACAACTGCATTTAAAATATTTACAGACCTGCATAGAATAATTTTAAAAAGAAGCACTGTTAAGGTGTTGAAAGCATTCTTTTTTTGTTTATGTTTTGTTTTGGTCAGCCTTTCAGTCAAATCAAGATATTACTCTTCATCTAATATTGATAATATCTTCTAACAGCAGGGAATAATAGTGTACATTTTGGCTTTTCATTGTGGTTGTCAACCCACAATAGAAAATAATGAATTTAACAGATTAATTACACTGTTTTTGACTGACTGACTAAATCTAAATAAATTTGCACCATACAGAATCTAAATGAATGTACTCATTCTAGGATTGATTAAAGAAGGGAGAGTTTCTCTCAGAGACAAACATTTATCACATTTAATTCCCTAGGAGTCCTCCTTGTGATATCTGCTATTGACCACACTCTTCCACATCCTAGGCTCAGGACTGGTAGTTTCAGAGCATGGTGGTTGACTCAGACAGATTATGGATGTTATGAAAGAATGGCAAATTACTCCTTATTTTGGGTTGTTGTAGGTTTTTCTGGGCTATATGGCCATGTTCTGGAGGCAATTTTATAGTCCGGAAAAACCTACAACAACCCAGTGATCCCGGCCATGAAAGCCTTCAACAATGCTCCTTATTTTATTTGTGTTTTTAAAATATTTTTAATTTGAGATATTGGGGATACAACTTCCTGCTCTCTCTTACGGTACAAAATATATCCAGTTGACCTTGCTAAGAGACCTCATCAGATGGGTGTAGGGCACTGTGGAAATTGAGTCTCATGGAAGCCCCATGGACGCCATCACATGACATAAGGGCACTTCCGATTGGACTCAGTTTAGCTTCATTTTCACAGCATATGGAAACAGAGCCCTTCAGGAGTCTGGGCTTATCTGACTCCAAAGAGTCTGAAGATGGGAGAAAGTAGGGGAAAGACAGATATGGATGTCTGTCTCAAGACGAGGGAAAGATGGGAAGAAACAGTGTAAGACATTTCTGTCAACTTTCCCTCAATCCCTCTGATGAAGTCCTAGATTCCTTGTTTCTCTTTATCCTGAAACTCAAAAATTTTGTTCTCCAATTTTACTTCAGTTATCTACCTCTTTTTAAAGTTTATTTCAGCCAACCTTAGCATGCTGAAACTGGAACCACATATAGAAGGCAAAAAAACTATATCCCAGTGGATAATTGAATCCCTTTGATTTTAACAGAATCCTTCAGGAACAGAAAATCAGAACTTGATTCACCTAATCATAAGATTGTGTGTCTCTCTGTATCATAATCTTGCCTGGGCACATAAGCCTCCATTTTCTAAGATCATGTATATGCTCTCCAACATAAGAATATAAATGCTGTATAGAGGGCTAGTGTGTTTAAATATTACTCCTCTCTTTTAAAGATATTTGCAGTAAAAGCAGCAACAAGAAGATATCTCCCCTGTATCTTAGAGCTAGGCAGAGAGAAAAGAATGAAAACTGAGATTTAGTTTTGAAGTATGTGATCTCATTCCCTCTCCCCATCTATGAAATGGTCAGAGACTAAGTTGAAAAGTTCATCATGGTGTGGCATTCCTAACTATAGGTTTGTTGGAAACCTATAGTTTGTGGGAATTGTTCACATATTTATTGCAAGGGCACACAGGCATATGGGGAAGCAAATGAAGAATACGTAATTACTTCAATATTTGGCTTCTTTTATATATCTGTTAAACATTTTAACCCAGGCTTCATTCTGCAGGTATCATGACAGTGGAAAAGTATGACTGAAAAAATGCATAATACAATAAAAACAATGAAACCACATCATCATCATAAAAACAGTGAAGCCATCACATACATAAAATCAAACAAAACCAACCAATCAAATGCCTAGGTAAGTAAAACACTTTTGAGCAGGCAGCAGAACAAAATAAAAAGACTAAATTGCAGCTGCCACATTATACCTCCAAAAGGAGAGAACTCCACAGGAGGGATGAAAAAAAATGAAAATATCAGAAAAATAATCAAAACTGTGTTTTTGAGTATTAGAATACCCTGTTGAGAAGAATCTTGAACTGATGAAAAACTTGTTTTTGTGGGGGGGGGGGGGGTTGGGGGGGCACAGAAAACAAACTAGAAACAGCACTTTTTTTCACTGAAAATGCTGTTTCTGCGCATAAAATATTGTTACTTGCTGAAAAGCACAATTTGTAAATACTGCACAGAATAGGTCCTGAACTTTAATTTCTGAAAATGCCACAGCTTTTGAATAATTTCTCTCATTGAGAATAAAATTGCTAAAATTACTTGTTCTGTCCTTCAATACAACATTAATGAAGAATTGTATTTTTAATGCATACTCTTGGTGCCTCTGGGCCATCTCTCGCCATTCTTGACAACTCTGTGTGTGCGCACGCACACTTTCAAGTCACCTGTTGACTTATTGCCATCCCATGAATTTCACAGGGTTTTCTTAGGTAATTCACAGGGTTTTCTTAGATATTTTTGGCCAATTCTTTCCTCTGAAACATAGCCCAGTATGGCAATCTCCCATGTAAGTACTAACCAGTGCTGACTCTACTTAGATTTAGGTAGGATACTGTGCCTTTAAAGCCCTTATTTCCCAGGGTATACTTGGAGAAAGCATCCCTGAAGCTTTAACTAAAGAACTGAGGGGATAATGCAAAGTCATCTTGATAGTGACCATGCATGGACTAAGCAAAGGGCAATATCTCACCCTGAAATGTTGCAAATGTGGGCGTTTTCAGGCCATGTGCTTTCAGGAAAAGACGAACTTTAATTATGGATTTATAGGTGTTCCCATGGAGGTAGGTTTGGGCAGTAAAGGAAAAATGTTTGGAGGCTTCAGGGAATTGAATGAGTAAAGGGTGAAGGAAGGAATGTATTTTGATGTAAACACAGGGGGTGACACAAAGCTATTGAAGAATGTGGGAGCATATAAGAAACCTGTGAAGAAATACATGGCAGTGATGAATGGTAGTTTCCATGTCAATGGGACAGCGATCTCACTCCAGATTTTAAAGGAGCTACTCAAATTGGTGCACTTACTAGTCAAGACAGAATAATGTCTGTCTAATAAACCCAAGTCTCTGGGCAGGGCTAATGCAGGGAAACTAGATTTCAAGATACTAGGTGATATAATATCTTTAACTATGTTACATGCATTTTGAATTCAGATTTGAAGCATACTTGCAGTCAGTGTTATTCCTTTAAAACTTGTGTCATATGGTTTGCATAAGGTGTTCCTTTCAACAATCTAGCTGCAGTATATCATATCAGCTGCAGCTTTCAAGTTAACTTCAAAGGCAGGCCAATGCAGAGTGTATTGCATTAGTCCAATCAGGAGGTATAGATGATCAGGAAAGGATGCAGCTGGTGAGCCAACTGGTTTCAAGCCACACAGTTCATCTGGATTCAAGACTATACCTAGAGTAAATATCTAATCCTTCATAGGGAGTACATTGAGGTCAAGTTGCTTACCGAGTTCCCTATCCACAGAGCATCTGTCTTATCAAGCTGCACCTTCGGTTTACTTATGGCACATGTGAGACAAGAGACTGTAGCTATCTAGGTATCTAGGGACAAATATCACTTACTCCTGTATTTGGATTCATGCAAATATTCTTGGGTGGGGAGTGAGGGCCTGCAAACTGCCATTTTGAGGTAGCATTACTTGGGTTAAAGCCAATTCTTAGCTATTAGCTAAACTAGACAACAGAATCAAGATGACTTATACAAGTGTTGATGTAGCAAATTCCTGCTGATTCAGTGGGTATACTTGAGTTGGGACTAAGAACTGAATTTCATTTTGTGCGTGTTGCTTGTTTGTTCCTCTTAAAGATAAAGAGCATTTGAATGGGTTTTCTTCATGTTCCTTAAACATTTCTTGTTACAACTTAACAAGGACTAATAAAATGTTATCTGGCATTTCATGGGCTTTCAGATGATGTGCACTACAGTTCATGACCTCTCCTCCCCCTCCCCCATCTCAGATTGTCTCCTACCTGTACTGATGGAGAGGTACATATGCAAAATTACAGACAAAGATTTCAGGTGACAACAAGCAAATTTCCAATACTAGATATCGATGGATAGATAAATAGTTAGTAGGCATGGGCAACCCGTGGTTCTAAATGGTTCTAAAGTACTTACAAAACTTGAGGGTGCTGGTGCTTTGCTTCTACAGTGTTGCTAAATTTCTGGTGGTAAAAATTTAAGAACTCTAACAAAACTTTCAAGATTTTGTTATAAATGGCAGTTCCTAATTGATTCTGTAATAAAAATCACCAATAATGAAATAATCATGACACTTTGTTAGAGTTCTGAAATTTTCACCACCAGAACTTTAGTAACACTGTAGAAGCAAAGCAGCAGCACACCCTAGTTTTGTAAGTACTTTAGAACCATTTAGGACCATGGATTGTCCATGCCTAAAGATAAATAGATCAGCTAGTGATACGAAAAATGCAGAGTTATGATAGAAATTCAGGTTTCCTTTTCTCAATTATTTACAGGAAGTTCATAAACTGGGATGGGGGATTCAGTCCACACGACACCAATGTGATAAATGAAGGACATGGTAAACATTGGGGGCTTACCGCACTCATAAGGGAATCCAACACACTGACGGCAAATGCAGTTCCACATGCAAAAGGCTGTGTGAGATACAGTTCTGTATCTGGGTCGTCGTCATCATCTTGGTCCAGAAACTGAACATTTGAGTCATTCACTAAAAAGACAATGATATTAAAATAGTTATTTCAAAAACCACCACAAAAAAGAACAACCAAAAACAAAACCCAATTGATCAACTTTACATGCTAGTGACAAAGAAGTTGTATGTGTCCAGAAACAGGCATATCTGGAATACTTGAATGTTCTTGAAAATGAAATTAAAATGGTTGTGAAATGTGCATTTGTTATCCCTGAGCAACAAACTAACGTTCTCAAGTGGGGAGTTTATTGTCACCAAATGGTATATGTGTGCCATAACTATAGGGCAGGTTACCTTGTCAGAGAAAAACTCCAATTTCAGGTTTTCCACAAAATACTCTCCTGTCTCAAAGGGAAGTAATGGCTTTCTTTAACTGTTTTGGTGTGGCACATTTGTACTGCCCAAAAGTTAAAGAAATGAAGATATCATTTCTTACCCTGGTTTTAAATCACGTTAAATTCCTATCAGGCTAGGATTCAGAATAAATCAGTGGTTCTCAATCTTTGGGTCTCCAGATGTTTTTGGCCTTCAACTCCCAGAAATACTAACAGTTGGCGAACTGGTAGGGATTTCTGGGAGTTGTAGGCCAAAACATCTGGGGACCCACAGCTTGAGAACCACTGGGATAAATGATCAACCATTTCCAAATAATAGCCACAGAGCATGTCTTCTACATATCTTATCATAAGTACCTCTCAACCCCAGGTATCTTCTGATAACCTTCTGATGAACAGCATTCATGATTAAACCTACAAGTTCAATTTGGTTTCTCTAATTTCTTGCTCAAATCTCATCCCAGCATGTAATTATTTTTAATTACTAGAAATTTGCATGCATTTCTATGTGTATTTTTCAAAACAGAATAATTTTAAGTGTTTTCTTCCACCAGGTTTGTCTGTTTTTGGTTTTATAAACATCTCTCTATATCCATTTCTAAAATAGACACATATTAATATACATTTTTGGTAAAAGAACACACCATAATCTCCAAAACAAACTCACTTCCAACTGTAAATTGCAATTGGCTCTGCAATAAGTTCTGGGGATGTGATTTGAATAACCTCACATTTGAATGCTAGCCCATTACATTTCTTTCCCACTGCATATACAAATAAAATATCTAGTTCACTCTGTTGCAGTCAGATTTGTGGATGGGCTTCATGAGCAGTGGTTCCCAACCTGTGGTCCGCGGACGAGAACTAACATATGGTCAGTGAAGCAAAGATCTTATAAAATAAAACTCCCAGGATGCCATCACACTGAGCCAGAGTAGTTCAATTTCACTGTGTTGATGCAACCTGTGTTTTCAAAGCAAAAAGCCTGGTTTATCATGGCTTTTAGAGCGAAGCCAACAGACTTCCGCGCCAGGAAAGGTGGGAAGGGAGAGGAGCAGAGAAAAAAAGGGAGTAAGTGGGAAGTAAGGAGGGAGTGCTTACAACATCCATGCATACAGCAGGGGCCATGTACATTTATAGTTCTATGTTTGTTGAAGCTGTTGCACGAGTCGATACTTTACAGAACACCTGGAATCATTCAGCTGTACCCAAACACTCTATAATAAGTGCCTAGACCAATAAGTGTGAGAGTATATTGTTATTTTAATGTCTCCAATGTTATTCTTCAGTGGTATCAGGTACTGCAGAATTATTGAGCCATTTATTTTGTCTGTAGTCTTCTTTAGTAGGCCTGGTGATTATGTTGTAATAACCCTATTGGTAAAGTAAAAACAGTACTAATTATATGTACTAAAATTGTTGTTCTCATTGTAAGAGTATGACTTTGGGTGCATCTGCACTGTCATAATCTTTGGCGATCCCTTGTGTCCAAGTATGATTGCCTTCCAAGTGTAGGGTCTTGGAGGTGGGTCCAAAGTTGACTGTAGAGACCTCTTCTGGATCCGCATGTTCTTCTGCAGAGAGGACATTAGTTTCTAAGTGGAAGGTGGTCCTGGTCAGGATTGGTTTATCTTCCTCTTGACACGTTTCTCCCTTTCAACCTCAATTCGTGCCTCTTTGAATTCCACAGCACTGTTGGTAACAGGTGACCTCCAGTTAAAGTGGTCAAGGGCCAGGGCTTTCCAGTTCATGATCTATGCCACAGTTTTTTAAAAATCTTTAAATCCCCTTTCCTGTCCACCAACATTCTGTTTTCCATTCTTGAGTTGAGAGTAGAGTAAATGCTTTGGGAGATGATGATCGAACATTTGGACAACATGACCAGTCCAGCAAAGTTGATGAGAGAAGATAATTGTTTCAATGCTGGTGCTCTTTGCTTCTTCCAGAATGCTAAAATTTGTTCATCTGTCTTCTCAAGAGGTTTGCAGGATTTTCAGAGGCAACACTTATGGTATCGTTCTAAAAGTTGAGTGTGACATTTGTAGACAGTCCATATTTCACAGGCGTCTAACAGGGTTGGAAGAACAAAAGCCTTATAAACAAGCATCTTGGCATCCCTATGAATGTCCTGATTATCAAACACTCTCTGCTTCATTCAGAAAAATGCTGATATCTGATAGCTCAGGTGGTGTTTTATTTCAGTGTCAATGTTGACTTGTGTGGAGAGGTGGTGGCCAAGGTAGCGGAAATGGTCAACATTTTCTAATGTTACACCACTAAGCTGAATTTCTGATTGGCTGGTGTCTGCTGAAAGAGCACTTTGGTTTTTTCAATGTTCAGTGAAGGGCCAAGCTTTTGGTATGCTTCTGCAAAGGTGTTTAGAGTGGCTTGTAGGTCTTCTGAATGAGCACAGACTATGCTATCATCAGCATACTGGAGTTCTATAACAGATGTTGCTGTAGCCCTGGTTTTGGCTTTCAGTCTATTGAGGTTAAATAGCTTGCCACCTGTCTGATAGATTATTTCTAGGCCGGTGGGGAGCTTTCCATCAGGAAGGTGCAGCATCATAGTGCTGAAGATGGAGAATAAGGTTGGGACAATGACACATCCTTTAAATGGGTCACTTTAGGAGCAATTGCTGTCCATGACTGTTGCCATCATGGAGGAGCCACAGAATGTTCACAAATTTGTCAGAGCATCTACACTGTAGAATTAATACAGTTCAACACCACTCTAACTGCCATGGCATAATGTTATGGAATCATGGGAGTTGTAACTTAACAAGTTCTTTAACCTTCTCTGCCAAAGATTACTGTTGCCTCAAGAAACTATAAAACACACAGTTCCACAGCATTGAGCCATGATAGTTAATTCTACAATGTGGATGTACCCATAGAAACCTAAAAATACATGGATTTAGTGGCCTCGTCACACTTGAGCATTTATCCATTTTAATCCACTTTAAAAACTGTGGCTGCCTCCTGATGAATTCTGGGGTTTGTATTTTAGGGAAGGGCCTTTAAACTGTTCATCCAGAGAAGCTCTGGGATTCCCTAAAGTACAAGCCCCAGAATTCTGCAGGAGGCAGTCACAGCATTTAAAGTGGATTAAAGATATAAAAGTGCTTGGGTGTGATGAGGCCCTTAATGAGTAGAAAAATGTAAACCAAAGTACACAATTACCCTTCTCTACATAACCATGACCTTAAGTACAGTTTTTGTTTTTGTAACAAATTGTTATCAGGGTCTCCCAATGCAAGCACCTTCATCCTTGAAAGCTATCTGTTCATTTCAAATAATCTTTTTGGTAACTGCAGCTAGCCCTTACCAACTCACCTTCCTATGGTAGGATTCCAATCTAGATCAGACTTCTTATACAGGGATATTTTTTGTTAAAATAATAATACTCATAATCATCATCATCTGTCACAAGATCAGAGTAATGCAGAATGAGCCCTACGTGTATACTCCCCCCCACAAAAAACCCCCCAATCATTTTCTAAAGAAATAACCCAAGGTGATTATGATTCAAAGGACATTTGTATAAATACAAGATGTCCATTGAATTCTTCCACTGGTGCCAGTTGTCCATCATGAACTAGAACATATATAAACAGAGCTAGTGGTGGCAGACTGGGATTTTGAGCAATCTGGTCTCTTTTTTACCTGATTTTGAAAATGATTTTGAAAATGTTGTGGAAACAAGGACTGGTGATAAAACTTCGGTGGAGACACCTTTTCTCCATGGTAGGGGTAGAGATCATCTTACTTCCTGTCACCCCTCCCCCCCCACCAACACCCCCCCCCCCATTCTTAACTCTAAATAGTTTGTAAGTTGGATTTTTGTAACTCAGGGACTGTCTGTATAAGCAATGTGGACCTGCCTCCTTTTCCTCTCTTGAACCTAATTCAAAACAGTGACAGTCCATGAATTCATTTTTTTCAAAAAGACTTTCATTTCAACATAGCTTCCAACATTCTTCAGTTTAAGTATTTCAGTATATTTCCCCCTTTTTTTGCACACAGCTATTGTTTGAAAAAGGGATTCTACTTTAGACACATATCTCTGGGAAAGACAGGGTCTTTTCTCAAATGGTAAATTAAACCAAGCACAAATCTTCACTACCATTGTATATTCCACTTACAACTGGCAGTCTTGTAAGGCTAATAACTCACACACAAGTAATACCTGACTAAAGCTTTTCCACCTGTTACATGGTGACAATTTTGGAGTCACAGCAAAATCTCTTATGAGCATTGCTTGGGTATAAGCCTCAGCCTTAAATTGCAATAGGTTTATCTCCAAGGCCTATGTTTTCTTGGTGGGATTTGTTTGAAAGGTCTCTCAGCTCGATGGAGTGGGGGGTGAGACTGGTTTCAGGGTTCAGAGATTCATCACAGAAAATGGGTCATCAAATCTCACTTTGCTGAAGAAGTCTACTTAGAAGTTTATTTGGTTTCAGGACTTCAAAACCGTTTGTACTGGAGCAAAAACCTGCCTCCACTCCCCCGAAAAAAACCTAAGCAACCAGATAAGAAATAAACAAACTGCTTAAGGTTGAATACAATACTGGTGGGGTTTTTTTGCTTTTGCTTTTTCTTCTAAAATATTTTTTATTTCTTCCTGAACTCCTCCGAGAGCTGTTAAGACATGTCAGTCAAATTGTCAGGTGGCTAGAATTTTAGAAAAGAAAAGAAAGCAAAGGAGGAAAAAAAGGTCTAGACCAAAGAAAAATGAATTGGTGTGAAGATGCTATGGAAACAGCCGGCAGGTCAGACGAGTGTGATCAAAGATTTACTGATGCTGTGTGTGGGGAAAAAAATCATTAAGAAATGCCAGAACAAGACAGTCAATTTCAACTGGAATCACAAATAAAACACATTCAAAGCAGTGCGATGAGGGCAGCCCCCTCTGATACAGCCAGATAAATAAAAGAGAAAGCTGATGATGGTGGGAGCAACAATAAAACAAAAGATAGTTGATGTGAAGGAAAAAGGCACTTCTTACCCAGTTCAGTTATCATTAGAATGTGAGTTCCACTGTTTTTTTCCTGACTGATTGAAACCAAAGGCAGAAGTTTGCCAGGCTTAGCTAATAAGTAAAATGTTTAGGAGGGGATGGGGGTGGGGGGAAGAAGGCACAGAAAGAGAATAAAGTAAGGGAATAAGACAGGTAAGGTCTGAAACTAAAAGGAAAGGAAGTAAAAGGACAAAAGAACTACAAATCAAGTTTGTTTCTACCATGAGAAGCAAAATGGCTTTCACGCTTCACACCGCTTGACAACCATCACTATTTAATGCCAAGCAGAACTGGAAAGGAACATTCACTGCATTCTCCATGAAAGCACTCCCTTTATGCTATGATGTCACAAATTATTAGTTAATTTGCTAGCATAAGAGAGAAGGGGAGCAGGGAGATTAAAAAGTCAATCTCTGTTGCCCATTAAAATGCAGATAGTGAATCTATTGGTTGCATTTTCTATGTAACCAAAAAGCCACAGCCACTTCAACACACCAGTCCTAAATGTGCACATAATGGTACTGTCCTGTCATTGAAATGCAGTGGCCAAATGCAAGGGATGAGGGAATGTTGCTCTCCTACATTAGACAGACTTTTAACCTACTCCTTAATGTTTTGTGGAAGTTTCACTTTGTATCCAGCAGGGAGAAACCAATTCCGCACAGAAACTGTGCCCTTTGTTGCTCTTCTTCAGATATTTCACAAAACCCATGACTTCTGCTGTTCGTGACAGCTATCTGATAGGCTGATCATCCATGCTCTAATATCAGCATAATATTCAGACGCACAAACTTTTGTGCAAATATAGTGTTATGTGTAACACACTCTAAATATGCTCACTCTTTTAATCTAACTATGTTTGATTTTTGTTTTTGTTTCATGGGCCAAATTCTGATGAGTTGTGCATTCTTACCAAGCAAGAAAAGAAGAAAATTATATTAAAAAGCAAAACAGCAGTCATCACCACCATCACAAAGATAATGCCTATTTGCACCAGGAAAGTTAAATGATAAATACTATAAAATGGGATTATTTCTCTAGGCTGGTAAAATTAAAGGAAAATAAATTAAGAAATGATCATAAAGGGACCAATAGCCTTTCATTTTTCTTACCTAATTCTGTTATAATTGGGATATCAATTCCTGTTGTAATGGAAGGTTGACGTAGAAGGCCATGAACTGGGCTGTTGTCTGGTGATGACCTGTCCATTCCTGGTGGTGAAAATCCTGCAGAGATAATTGCATATGAAAATTTGGATGTTACACCAGAACTGCTAAGGTAGAAAGCAAACAACAGCAATAATGAAACTGGATATGAGATGGAGATCGTTTCTTACGTAAAGAGGAAAAGAAACAAATTTCAAAACCCAGGATGGTTAAGGATCCCAATAGCAAGCAGTTCTTCACTTCAATAGTAGATATGGCTCGATCATAAACATATGGATACATGCTAGCAACCCTGTCTCTCACTTCACCAGACTTCAGCATGTCTTTGAAGTAAGTATTGTATTTCTATGTGACCATCAGCAACTTTATCATTTTAAAGTTCATAATTAAAGTAAATACATGATGTGAAAACCATGTGGACTAAATTTTACACTTGAATGCTGGTCCTCTACACATGTCCTTCTTTCATTCAACTGCATAAAAACATACACACATATGTTCTTGCTGCTGCAGTTTCAGTTAAAACATGTATATCAGCTGTGTTCATTGCTAAAAACCTCTGATCTGGCTGCAGTGACACATCTCAGATCCCATTTGAATTATTAGAATGTGCTGAATATAGGGATATCTTTGAAGAATATTCAGAAACTTCAGCTGATCCAAACAGCTGCAACCAGACTACTGACTGCAGGCTAGTATTAAGAGCATGCAATTATCTTATTCCAATAAATTCACTAGCTACAAGTCTGTCTCCCGGAACAATTCAAAGTCCTGGTTATAGCCTATAAATGCCAACACATTTGATCCCTGGGATATCTGAACAGCCCTATTCTTTCACATTCTGTCTGCATTTTGTTATTTTCAGAGATAATCTTTCTCTCTGCCCCACCAGCTTCACAGATACATCTGATTCGAAGATGAAAGGGAGCCTTTTTGGTGCCCGCTCTTAAGTTATGGAACTCCTTTCTAAGAGAGGCTACAATGCTACCCATGGTGTTCTTCTAAGAGCAGATGGGGACTTTGTCCATATCAACTGAAATTGCAAGAATCTATAAGAAGCAGAGCTTTTTAAAAATTCTCTTGACTAATATGATGAGGAATTTGAAAATTTCCTGAGTCCACTTATGGCAACTTAGGCCCCTTCTACACTGCCCTTATATTCCATGATCTGATCCCACATTATCTGCTTATCCCAGATTATATAGCACTGGAGACTCGTATAATTCAGTTCAAAGCAGATAAACTGGGATCTGATCCTGTGATATAATGACAGTGTAGAAGGCACCTAAATGTTGCCTGGGTAATGAATGGAAGAGAAAAGATGTTACAATGGTGGCTACAGGCAAAAAAATATATATAGATGGACCAGTGAGGACTGAATGGGTACCCTAGGGCACTGTAAAATGGCATTAGCCATGTCAAGCAATTAAGATTATCTTAGTTTATCTTAGACCATAACATCTAATAGCCACTTAAACAGCATTTCCTCTAGACAGGTCTTTCAGAGCATTATGAATACCTGCAGCCATTTCTTCTTTTGGTTTCCAGTACTGCTGGGAATCATGGTCACCACCACACAGGATGTAAGGTCCCACATAGAGTAACTAATGCATACTGTTGACACTCTACCTATCTAGATTTGAGTCCCCCCAGGGGTGAGAAAGGCGGTATATAAATACTGTAAATAATAATAAATAATCTATATTTATTCTTTCTTCCTTGAAAACTTGGTGCCAATAGTGGACCAGCACTGAGTTAAGGACCAACATTTTGAGGAGGAGTAGAATATCTGCCTTTGGAGAGGAACTATTTCTTTGAGCAATCTCACTCTCAATATGGAGCCCAATACTGAATTATTACCCAAGGGTTTTGTAAGGATCACAGGGACATACAGATTTGGCTCTTAAGTTGTCCCTCCATTCATGAGAAGATACAGATTTCTGTTCCTTCTCTCTTTCTACAGTCCCACACTGAAGGGTTCCCCAACATAAAGAAACAGAATTTTTGTTGTCCAGATATAAGGGAGGGAAACTGTTTCATCAAACTCTGATCCATTAAGGAGGGTCAGCATCATCCAGGGTACTGAAATTGATGCATTTCCAAAGGGGGGAAATATTATTATCGCTGTTGTTGTTGGTGATGATGCTGTTGATGACACTTCCATTATCTTGAAAAGGTGGCAGGACAAAGACAGCCAGTTCCTCATCCCAGCCTCTAGAAATATCCTTTTTGCTGCCTGTTTTCCAACACAAAGCATAAATTTTAGATGCCGTCTATTTTCTCCCATCAGAAAAAATATGAAGGCAACCTAAACTGTTTTATCACAACTTTCATTTGAAATTATGAAAAACTGCAAGTGACAGCTGTGTGAATTCAGTGAATGTGAAGTTTCTGAATTCCTTCAAGTTGACAAGTAAACACCTTAAATCGGTAGTGCTATATATGCATAATACATGGCCTGTATTTTGACATCCATCATCAAATGCTGACTTGAGAAAATACTGATTTGTACGTCAAGGAATAGCACCCATAAAGCAGGAAAAATTCAGGTCACAGGGTATTAGGAAAACAGTATTTCATTACAGCACAAGAAACAGGCTAAGTCATGAGATGTAAGAGCTCTTTAGGGGATGTGAAAATAGTCTCTTCAACTACACAGAGCCTTCCTTTATTCAGAAAAGACAAACTTTACTCAAAGGCCCATTTTCATTTGCTTTCCCATATTTCTAGTCATCTAAGCTTAAAGACTTGCACCTATAAAACTGAAGAGATGAAACTGCTATTTTCATTTTTTTCTGGGATTCGCAAAAGTAGCCCCACATTACTTATGAGGCAAGGTGGGCCTCCTCAGTTCTTATGCCTAACCACAGAAAGTCTAATACCTATAGGGAAACTTATGGCCCATTTACACTATGCAATTATAGTACTATTATTTCACTTTAGCTGCCAAGCAACCTCCTATGGAACATTTATAATTTTGAAATTGAGAGAGCTTATGATGCTTCGGATCCCAATACAAACCCCAGAAGGATTCCACAGGACAGAGAGATTACAATTCAAGTGGAATCTTGGTGCTATCATTGTTTAGTGTGAATGGGTACTTACAGAGTCAGAGTCAAATTCAAAATTCTACAGATAGGCAACTGAACTTATAGAGAAGCGTCCTTCAGGTCTACCTGCTCAACACAGGAATTATTGCTGTAACACTCTATGGGAGTTGGAATTCCCTCAATAGGGGTAGTACTAGCAGTAGCATCTGAAATATGCTTTCTGAAAGACCTTGGTGTGGTTGTGAGTTGGTATTAATAAAGGAAATACACTTACACCCTTTCTTTTCCTCCTTGACCAACTTCTGTATGCGTTCTCATTTCTTACCTTCAACACTGAGCAGTAGGTGAGGAAACTTAAGAAATGACTCAGTCATCTCCATTAATAGCCATACGAATATTCATTATTGTTTCCAGTCAGAAAATGAATTACTGTTCCTTAGCCTGCAGATTTTAGCTGGTTATCATCTAATCTTTTAATCAATATCTATATATTGATATCTGTGCATTGCCCAAAGCACTTCTCCAACATTCTGAAAGAAGTCTGCCGTAGAGCCACTTTATAATATGAGAAAGAAAAACTGTGGGAAACTGACACAGTGGGCACCCCGTCTCATTCCAACTGTCGTCCCTTGCATTATTCCCCAGAGCAGAGACCCATGGAATAAAGGATGAAATGGATACAGAGACAGACTGGGTACAAACATGATTATGGAAGGGTCCCTGGTACTAAACTATTAATAACAATGAATACAGGTAAGGGTAAAGGTTTTCCCTTGATATTAAGTCCAATCATGTCTGACTCTGGGGTTGGTGCTCATCCAACAATAAAGCCGAAGAGCCAGCATTGTCCATAAACACCTCCAAGGTCATGTAGCCAACATAACTACATGGAGTGCCGTTACCTTCCCGCTGGAGCAGTACCTATTGATCTCCTCACATTTCCATGTTTTCAAACTGCTAGGTTGGCAGAAGCTAGGGCTAACAGTGGAAGCTCATGCTGCTCCCCGGATTTGAACCTGTGACCTTTTGATCAGCTAGTTCAGCAGCTCAGCGGTTTAACCCACTGTGCCACTGGGGACTCCAACAATGAACATACTAATTATTATATTTTTTTACTCTCAGTACAGGAAGCTGACTATACAAAGCATCTTTTTCCCTTCTTTTTCCCTCTCTCTCAATACAATTAATTTAAATTCATTAATTTAATTTAACTTCATCCCACTCCCAGTAATCAATCTATTAATACTGTACTATGGTTAATTAATATTAATAAAAGGCAATTATGTCTTCAATACACAATTCTGTTATGATGAAAACATGTAAACTCTTAACAGGGAAGTTGCTTCAAGAGATCTTGGCTCTCCTTTTGCTCATCTTTCATTAGCTTGTGGCACACTACTTTCAGGAAGGGTTCAGTCCTACTTCACACACCTATCATTAAATGAGCAGAAGAGCAAAGTTTTGCAAGCTGATTTTTTTGCATGCATACAGTGAGTCACTTAACCCATCCCCAAGGGGCAATGGAGTCTGGACCAGAGTGCTCCTTAACTCTGCAACTCTGTATACAGACAATTATGTTTCAGAGGAGAAACTGAAGTGAGTCATGCACTTAGCCAGCATGGAAATTACTGGGTTCCAAACTGAATTTAACCAGAAAGTTAAGAGGTACGTTTTAACTCCTGGTGTTCTTTTTAAAAGTGCTACTCTCATATAGATACTTGAAGTGTTGACATTTAAAAAACCCTGGTAACTCAATACCAATAGTCTGAAAAAAGGCTGACAGATAAAGGAACTTTAGAAACTCATATGCATAAAGTATTTTTCAAAGAAGGAACGAGTGAATGCTCAATTGGCTGAGATTCTGTTCAGTGTTAGCAGCTCCAATGATATCATTCAATGATATACCTCAAGCTCTAGTGAAATACAGTTTGAGGGCACCAAGGTGCAACCCCATAGTCAATCGATGGTGTTGAATCCCTGGAACCATGTGGTTGCTTTTTTGTCACTGGG